CTGGGCACAGTGTCCGTTATCATTTGGACTTAGATGGGTTTCGGGAGCACAATAATTGTTTGGCGTTCGTACGTCAGACTACAAAAATTTAGGAAAAGGAATACGGCATTGCAGTCAGTTGAGGTTCGTTTGCTAATATTCGTCAGAACTACTGTCCATGGCAGTCTGAGCGTCGCGCTTCGTCCCTTTGTTCCACATCAATGAGTTGGTGTTAGCCGCCCATCTCAATAAGCAGCCATTAGACCGACATAAGAGCCGTATTTTAACCCTCTTTGAGTAAGCAACGCCCACACTGCTCTGATTATTAGGTTTCTTAGGTAGACAAACATAACAAGGCGTCAGTGGCATGATTCAAAGGGGCTGAGAGGATTGATCATATATGCACTGATATCGATTTCCTTAGTGCCAAAACGCCTTTTGCACAGAGAATATCTCCCATGAAGCGATAATAAAAACGTTGACTGCTAGATGGATTGTCTTGTCTAGAACTAACTTAATCATAAACACAATTCAAAGGGCTCACTTTGCTTGAAATCGGACCCGAAATCTTACATGACTTCCCGGGACCAGCCACATTTGAATAAAAATTACAATTTCCAGTCAAATGCCATGACTAACCTGTTACGTTTGCCCGTAACAATAGAGAATACCACTCAAATAACGGTACCAGATCCCTTGCTGAAAGCCAGAACCGACCTTCCCAGGCTAATACCAGAACAAGAACAGAGCTCGAGTAGAAAGCTTTATTCACGTGAGCCATGTGTAGAGAAGAATTGAAATCGAAAGTAATTTGAAAGCTATCTCAAGTCAAGGTTGACCTTGACTTGATAAAAGCGTAACAAAACAAATGTCAATAATTAATGTAAATAAAATCAGAAACCAATGTTGGGGAATCGTGGATCCCCAACAAACCATTTGCACTGTCGACTGAAGGCTCACAGTCTTCCAGAGCTAGGCTGTTCTGCGACAGAAATGGTTTTGGAACAGGACTAAGTCGATTAGGGCAACGCTTCAGAGTTGCGTCGCCAGCATCGAGGTTAGATCTAGGTAACTTCTTTAAATGTTTGCGCGGGACAATGAACCTGCTAACCTCCACACATCCACACATCCTCACTCACCTTCTACACTTCTAGAAAGCTCATTTCTCTACTCACTCATTCGATAAATAAAATTATTGGATTGTTCAGAGTACTTTGGTGGAAAAAAGACCCTTGTCGTTTAGATAACTAAATCGTCATTAAATAGGCTTTCCTCTGCAGGAATACATCCGCAAGCAACAGACCTCTTTCGGAGACGGCCACCAGTATTATCGACTATGAGCAAACCGAGGAAACTGCACTTATGGACAAGAGCGTGACCTGTGTTGATAGTTGCATGATCTGAATTGGTGGGCTTCATCACAAATCTCCAAGAAAACAGGAGTCAATTATCTCGTAAAAAATTGCGATCGATCTTTCAGATGACCAACTCGATGTAAATAGCAATGTCGCCGATTTGTACAACACACTGACTCGGTTTTCGCCACTTGTCTGACTCATCGTTGCTGGTCTTGGTCTACCACTCCTAAACGACTGCCTCAACTGTCTTCTGGTGATGAATATTCGCAACGCATCTTTGCTCTGCCAGAAAGCTTAATTAGGGTGTTTCAAGAAATGGGACCAATGTATTGTTCTGAGCATGAGCGAATTGCGCTTTCCATTCATTATCTGAGTTAAATTATGTGCCTTAGGCGTGACCTGCTGCTCACAGAACTTTCGGCCTTTGCGTCTTTGGTAGCTCGTTTCTGCAAGAAAAACTGACTTTGTTGCTGCCATGTCTCTCACCTCTGGGTAAACTAAGTCAGTGAACTAGGGATCAACACACGGGCTTGTGAGAGCGAACGATCAGTGATTTTGACCGTTAACGAGAATCCCTCCACTTCCGTCCAATCACAGCCTTGACCACCTTTTTACTATTTTCACAAGCCAAGGACAAGCAGCGGCAGCAGCATCAGCAGTGGATGGATACCTCGGAATTCGTGCTTGAGGCCTTTAGGGTGTCGGTTGTAGAGAAGGTGGAAGTTGTGCCAGGCGAGCGACGGCCCCTTGTTGCAGGTGAGCACATTCACATTGAGCTGATTGGGGACAGCAAGACCAACGCGAACATCACGGAGGTCATGGCCCGTGCCCACTTCCAGTACCTCGATTCGGAGATGAGTCGACGCGGGTGCATCCTATTGATCAGAGCCAACTCCACTGGGAACCAGTCGCTGTCGGAGTTCACTTACAAAGACATTATGCAGAGACGGATTGTGCTGGGGGTGAGTGGCGTCGTTCATAATAAGTTTAACTGAGTTGAGATTATTTCGACAAAAAAAAGGAATTTCTATTTATCATTGCCTAGTTAGGGTATTAGAGTGTCTGCGTATGTTCATTTGCATGCAACGTGAATGATGAGATAGAAAATCGAGTTAAATTAGTCTTAAAGGGAGACTTTTTCTTACATGTCTGTCTCACTTTCGGCGGTAGAAGAAGGCATGAAGAAGCAACTTGGTAGCAGGAGGGTCCATAATAACTTTTACCGCACCGGGGTCACTGAATTAACTTTGGCCCGATTACGCTTCCCTGCTACCCACGAGAAAGAAAAAGACCAGAGAGGCCGTTAACACAACCGCTTACTTCAGAGCTCAACCACGATTGTGTCGTTGTATCGTGTGTATGGTTTGTGCGAGTGTATTTATACCTCAGATGCGTGATTCATAGATGCGCTAGCATCGAAGCCTAGGTGTGAGGATAATCTAAGATAATCGATCGCGCTAGTGAGGAGCACTTGAAGATACTCGCGGCTGGCGAAATTCTGCGAAAAGAAGAACCCTGCGTCGGGGAATGGAGCGACCGATTGAAGGGTTTGAGTAAACACGATTCAAAACACCTCTCTATTTCCTATTTTACAAGATGCAAGTGAATCAGTTTGGCAGTTAACGTCTTATTACCAGTGGCGCAAAATCTTGGGAATGGATAAACATGACAGACTTTAGAATAAAATGAGTTTATTGCACTATTTTAGACCAAGACATGCTTCAGCAAGTCCCCGCGAAGCAGAATCATAAGCGTCCTTCTGACGATCCCCTCTCAAATGCCCATTTCATTTAGCATTCTGGTGAAGATAATCAGTGAAGCGGACACCACGCCTCGGCCAACGATTGCGATCGGCCAAGCGATATCGGTTATTCCCTACGCTGATAGCCGCCCTAATCTCAAGCACATCCAACTCCTCGACACCAGTGTTGATCCCACCAAAGTGCACCTTTATTCGCCCAGCAGGCGCTTTCATTGGAAGCACAGCTGCAATGCCACTGCCGCAGTCTTCTACTTCTTCAACATCATTTACGAGGACATCATTTAGCATCACACCGACGACATGAGTCCGATCAGGTTGAATCTTATCAATCTGAATAACCTCGCTGTCGAATTCAATGCCGATCAAATTGAACACTTTGTTGAATCAATAATCCCGCTCACCGAATCTAGTCCACTGCTTCAGTACCTACGAGTCGATTGCCCTGACCACATTACCTCCGATGATATCCACTTGCAACGTTCGATCGATGAGCTATACACGCATGGAGTTGGCTCTAAGAGTCCATTTGTCCGAGCACCGAGTCCTGAGGAGCTAACGAGGACACGACCCGGAGAAATGGGGTTTCTTCTGACCCCCAAGCACCTCCTAATGCCCAGCGAGTGCCCGCGAAGATGAAGACCAGCTATATGGTTTGCTGGACAGGTCAAGGAGGTCATGTTGTCATTATAGTGTGGCTGAATGATATAGTAGAGTGAATTAGTAAACTACAGGCGTCCCAATGGTTACATGAATAGAGAGGTGGTGGCGGTGGTGGCGATGGTGCATACAGAGGAGTGAATGAGCAGGCTGGCCCTGTGACTGACGGTCACGCTGTGAAAAGGGGAGACGTGTGTGTGTGTGTGAGAATGTGACAACCTACACACATAATCCACGACCACTTACAGTGTCCTACTGATGAGCGATATTTTGTTCGAAATAGCTCAAGTGACGCCTCAAAGTTGCGTCGCATGTCGCCGCCCTCAGACACCACATTGTTTAAGCCTGCATTGTGCTAAAAACCCCAATAACTAACGCTGCATCAAACAACGATTTGTATGTCTCCCATCGTATTTAGTCTGGCAGTTTACTGGGCTCAGGTGGGGTTAGATAAAAAAGCGGTATCGAATCTGTGCTACGCCTGGAACCCTGACTCTGCCCCCTGTTCGTCGTGGCGCCATCGGACATCGCGTGGATGTTGACGCAGTTATGGAAGGGGCCTCTGACCTCGATAGACTGGGAGCCGAATTCCTCTCGCCAAAGCTGGTGGTTTTCAAAGTGGGTATGTCCAAGTTGCGCTTTTTTCGTGCCTGTGATTAGAAAAGCATAAATGCAGTTCTGCCTAAAACTAGTTTACTTATAGAAGTTGAAGATGCTAATCTTATTCAAAAAAGAAGGAGGTATTTAAATTCAGAGTATAAACGCAACACCAACGCATGACATCGTTAGCAGCGTCCACTCCAGTGCTTGAATATACCACGAAATAGTCAAAACCTCAATTGTTAAAGGTGTCCCCAAGGCTGAAATGTACCGATTCTATTCTACTATTTGGATGAAAGGTATCGGTGCGTGCCATTATTTGCTCATAAACTGAGAGAACATTAGCGTGAGATTACCGCGTGGATAGCGGTAGGGTGTTCAAATTAACTCTGGTAACCTAGAATTAGACAATCAAGAGTAGCGACATTCCACAAGAAGGAAAACCAAACGACACGTTATTGTGCATGGTCACTGTGCGTCAAACTTCATGCTAGTCAGCAATATTTGCAAGATTCTGATCGTTGACTTAAAAAGATTGACATTGTTGTGAATTGCGTTGATTCATTCTCGCCAAACACCATCATTTCAGCCTCCGACACAGGGTCTTCCAATTTTACAGCAGGCCGCCAGCAGCGTGGATCCTCACCTACCTCCTCATTCTCGCACCTAGTTCCCGATGTCAGCGCATGTAAGACTCACACATTTGAGGTATAAATGACCACGCACAAATGTCACCCACGACACAACAACATCAACGTGGTTGAATTCTAATGGTGAAAACGGTCGAGTTCACGTCCTCTCCGGTTTTTTTCTTCATCACGAATCTCTGGGAAGCGTAATAGGGCTAGAGTTAATTCAGAGGCTTTGGCGTGTTTCAAGACCACATGCTGGGGACGACAAAAATTGGGTGACCCAGACGTGATGAAAGGTTCTGCAAATTTCACAAGAGTGTTTTCAGCATAAATCCTGATGCCTACTGGTGCATGTAAGGCAGGACATCTGAAAGTCACTTGAAACTACTTGCCTGGTTAATAAGACACTTTGATTTTCCCCGGTTTAGCGTATCCACCTCATTTAGTAACCACAAACATTATAGACTTATTGTGCACGAGTTACAGATAATACTGCCCTAGGACTCACAGTATGCCGTTTACTCAAGTCTTGTTGTGGATCGTGTTTATTCACACCCCTTATTCCGGTCGCTCCGCCTCCAACACGGGTTCCCCTTTTTCGCAGCATGGCGCCAGCCGCGAGAATCCTCAACTGCTTCTTCACTCACACGAATATTCATCTTGGAGTATCCTCACACCTCGATGTTAGCGCACGTATGACACACACATCTGAGGTATGCACACACACCCACAAACCCCACACACCACCACGGCTTCGTCAAGCTCTCGAATAAACGCTTGCTCTCTGTCCTACCACAAATTTCATCCGCGTTGAACAGTTAGTGTTATGTGGCGTCTCAACAGTTTGTTCACAATGACTATCACTTAATCACGTTGACTTCTTTCAGTGACCAGTCATCTGCCGAGTTGCAGAGCACTAATCCGAGTTTGCTTGCACCAATCTCTTGAGTACTCAATGAGAAGTCTATCACTTCTCACTTCCTGTTCACAACGGGTGTTGTAGCGCTCTCGTCTTCAATGCGGTAAGACGTGCATCTGCTGCCTTCTCTACTCTCAGGCCTTTTCTGTTAACTAGGAGTCGTTTTGCAAGTGACACGAACCAACTGATGCAGTATTTAATCAATCACATGATTTAGCCATAACTCTCGTTTGTGTGCTTTTAATTTCGAACAATATGTTTGCTAAGGACCTGATTTCTTCTCGCACAGCCTCCGACCAATCAGTCATTAGGATATTGGTGGTAAAGTTGTGAAATAATAGGACAAAATGAGTCTCATGACACGACTTACAAAGAGGCATATCTATGTTGGTGTTGATGGTCTAATTATTGTGGCGCTTACACAAAACGTGAGTTTAGTGTGCTGACTCCCAAACAGTGTTCATCAACTCAGTAAGTCATAGGAGGCAAATCCAACATCTAGCGAGGACACATTTAGGTTTGCCTGTTCCATTGCTGCTGCAAAGATGTTCGATGAAATTAAACTTGAGCCGTATAATTTTTCGCATCGCAGGAGCTCTAAAGACGATTCAAAGGAAGGCGAAACTCCGAGTACCCCTAGGGACACTGTGGCTGATGAGCCAACAACGTCCGCCGCAGTGACAGCCAATGTCCAACAGCCAACCACGGCATCACCGATGCTTGGCAGGTCACTGTTCCCTCTGACTGAGACATCGCCTTCTGGTGGAACTCAACGAATACAAGGCATTCCACAGGAGGCCCATGCGCAATTTAACCACCAATTGCACCAAAGCGGCCAGAATCCGCCAGCAGGGCAGATATCAAACCAAATTCCTTTGGTGCCTAACGGGAACTCCCTGAACCCACACAGTCAGGCCTTTTTCAACTCTATGAATTCAATCAATCCTTCTCAGCTAGCACACCAAACTCTACAAACACAACTTGACCT